AATCGGTTGATAATTATGATTGACGTAATCATTCAAATTTGATTCATGACCACCTACAACTTATTTCCAGATTTCCCCAAGATTTTATTTCAATAAATGCAAAAGTTCCACAATAGCGGGAAACATAAGCAACTTGCGACACACATACACACAACACCACACGCAACGCACGCACGCGCGGCGCGCACACATACATACATACATACATACATGCATACATACATACATACATACGATACACACATAACATAATGTAGTAGAAAACGGCTTTGAGATTTCCAAGAACAGAGCCTACCACATTCAATTTTATTAAGCTATAAAATTGAGCTGGGTATTAATATTGTAAGTGAACATAAAATATTTCTACAACATTCATCATCAAGACACAAAAAGGTCATAACTTAATCTTTCGCATATTGTAATTTTAAGACATGATTTTAAAATTGTCTAGTTAAACACATCAAGTTCTAATAAAATGTTGCATTATTTTCATTCAAAAATACTAAGATTCTTTAGTTTATTTTGTATTTTCCGATGTGAGCAGAGCTTTACAAATTTAAACATACTAGGCCTATTTATGTAAAAATTATCTATGTATATTTTCCTATCACTTTCAAAATTGGGGACATACAAAAAGATAATGAAATTCATCGCCAATATCGTTACATATATAACATTTAGCGGTCTTGAGTAATATTCTTCGTCCTATTTCAATTGGAAGGCGATGATTTCTTGTCAAAAATAGTAATATTTTTAGCTAAATTGCCAGGCCAGTTTTCTATGTATATCAGCTTCTCGAAAAATCCTTTTTGATATATTTGTAAACGTTTGTATCAGAGTGTTATTTAGTTCAGAACGCCAATTTTGCCGTGTAAATATCTTTTAACTTTTGATGTTGTTTTTATCAACCACTTATTATTGCTAAAACTTTCTATGTAAAAATCCCAGAAAAAACCAGTTTCACACAAATATTGTTTTACATTTTCTATCCACAATGATTTAACTTTATTATCTATATGTAATTTACGTAAGAAAATATATACCTTTTGAAGATAATTTTGTTGGTTCATCACTTTTGATATTTTCAATAAGTATTGCCCAAAATGTTATTACTCTGTGTTTGATATTCACACTGAGTGTAGAAACCTGTTTCAAAAACTTTAAAATTTTAAATTTAAATATATATTTGAGAAATTTCAGCTGAATTTTCTCTAAAACATTAAACATTTCCATATCCTCAAATTTCGCTTCCGTACAGTAAAATAGGCTTGATAGTTTTTTTTCAAATAATTCAATTTGTAGGTCAAATGGTAAAAGCCAAACTTTTAATTTTCCTCAGTAATGCAAAATAGTGCTTTATTAGCTTGCTCAGCTATTTGTATTTTCGATTTATAAAAAACGAACCACTTTTATTGAAACATATCCCTTATTATTTATATTCATTTACGATTTCCAAAGACATGTTGCCCAATTTTTAAAAAACATTATTTATTTTTGGACGTCCTTTACTAAATATCATAACTTTGGTTTTATTTACATTAATATTTAGTTTCCACGTTTCACAATACCGGTATAATTTAAACTGATCTAAAGCCTTTTGAAAACGAATTTCATTTTCACTGAAGATCATTTGAAGCTTATGATAACAAGTTAACACATTTTTTATTTCAAAAGTATTGAAGATTATTTTTAGAACCAAAAACATCAAAGGAAACACATTTGTATTATATTATTTTTCAACTAATCTGCAAGAATAAACGGAACGAATTTCTTCTAAATATACTTTAATTCTACAGAAGTACATTATACAATTATATAATGGTATACCAGATATCACTTATTTTTTCATTTAAAAACAGCTTGCCGTGATAACAGAGGCAGAAAAAGTTAATACGTTCAATATGTTTTTTGTTAAGTGGGCCGAGTTGACCCGTGCCGAGTTGACCTGTGCCGAGTTGAGTATAGGGCTGGGCATGTTTACCTTTTTGTAGGGGAGGTAATTGACAGAGCGGGATATTTCAGTCTTAGCATACCTTTGCAAGGATCTACCATAAATTCAAAAATCAATATTTCATTAAAAGTTTATCTTTATCTCTCTTGGGACAGATAGTTAAGTTATGTTGCTTAAATCGTTAAATTTTCATAGTTTTAAACGTTAAAAGAATATTTCGACAGAGAAAGTGGTTTGGGATTAAAAACGAAACTGGTTTGACCTTTGGGAATATTAAAGAAAATGGCGTTAGGGGGAAGTTTAAATTTAGACAATTTGTCAGATCAAACATTTGATCTGCTGTGTAGAATTTGTAAACGGAAAGGCAACAATTCCGAAGCAGAAAAGTACTGTTTAGAATGTCAAGATTATTTTTGTTTGAAATGTGTCAAAGTTCATGAGGATGTACCGTCGATTAATGGACCATAATATTCTCGACAAAAGCCAGTTTCCATCGGACTCGGCTAAGATAGTTGGTTCAAGGAAGACTTTATCAGATAAATCAATCGAGAGATGTGACAAACACAGTCATAATGGTATTGATATGTATTGTCAGATTCACGACCAAGTTGGGTGTGGCACCTGTATGACTTTAGCTCATAGGTAAGTTGGTCAATTTCAATATAATTATATTTATCTTCTAGATGGCAAAAAAGGTTTTTTTTGATCAACTACCCTTTGTGACCGACTTTCCGCCGTGATTTTTTATAAACTTTTAACTGTAAGTGAACACTCAATAAAAATCTCCGACAAAACGTCTAGATATATCTACCGTGTGTATATAAATGTAATGATTTATATACACAGTAGATATACCCTTTTTAAGACGATGTTGAATTGATAAATGTATGTGTGTTATTGATAAAATTTTATAAAAATCACGGCGGGTAGTCGGTCATAAAGGGTAGTCGATCAAAAAACTTTTTTGCCATCAAGTGCCTATGATTTAAACTTATTTTAAAGTATTAATGTACTATCAAATTCTTCATCTTTCTATTTCAGCTAAAAAGAAAATGTCCACATACAAAACACTGAGCACTACAAATTTGAAAATGTTTCAAAGTTAGTTCAACCTAAATAGGTAGTCAATTGACGTTGCCAAAGCTAGATCCTGAGATTACTGTGTTCAGCGTCAGAATCTCGCTTCTAGAGGGGAGATATTGGCCACACACAAAACAGCACAATATCTCATCTCGTAGGACAATAAGTCGCACTACTTAAATAGGATGCACATATGTCACTAGTTTCATTGAATATATAATATAGAAAATATTAGTAATTATTTCATTATGTTTCTCAAAGGAGTTGCATGATAGCAACTGGGGATGTTTCATATCACTATGACAGGTCTTGGTTCATATGTATGACTATTAATGATAAGTATTAAGCAACAACAACATTGGCAGTGTATTAGAACCATAACTCTTCTTTGAAATAGGATTATCGCCCTTTTTAGGGGGAGGGGATCGGCATTTAGGTGTCATTGAAGAGTCATGCAGTGTATGGGAACAATAACATATATGATATTTATGATCTGAGGTACATATTTCTGAGAAGCTTCAATTAAAATAATTCAACAGTTGATGTCAATTCAATAATTTTGCTTGTAATATTATTTTCTTCTAGGAACTGCCAAGATACATTTTACATACCAGAATATATTTCGGACACCGGCCCTAAAACATCTATAAAAGAAGTTGAAGAGAAATTGGTAATGTACCTTACAAGACAGCATGAAAAGCATAAAAAGCGAGCAAGATCAGCTCTTGGAGAGGAAAAAACTGTTAGTTGACAATATCACGAAATTCAGAAAAGAAATCAACGACAAGCTGGATGACCTAGAAAAGGTTACAATCAGAGCTGACAAATGAGATGAAAAATGCAATGCGAATGTTGCAAAATATGAAGGAAACTATTGCAGGTTATCGAGAAAGGATTAAATCAAACAGTAACAACCAAACGACAAGGTTTGTCACCCTGAAAAAAGCTGAAGATATTGATCACACGGCCTCTAAATTAGAAATCAAACTTAAAAAAGGTAAATCGTTCGGAAATATCGAGTTTTGAAGCTGGTCAAAAGTTATCAACGCTATTAAAGGATATGAATAGTTATGACTTTACAGCCCAGCAGCCAGCACAAAAATATCAACACCCACAACAACCTTGTCAGCCCCCACCTCAACAATATCAGCCCCCACTAGAACCCAAGCGACCAAGAGATAAATCAGCAGGCAAAAGGGGTGAGTTTTCTATTTGTTTTGTAGTTTTTTCCTATTTGAATTGTGAACTTAAGTTCTCCTTCCTTGAGATGAGTTACATTTACAGTCTGATGAAAATCATCTTAAAACGCAAATAATAAAGCAATGCAGAATTATTTGAAAGGGAATGCACATTTTGTTATGATGCTGTAAAAAAGTCAGAATGCTCAATTTTGAGAAAAAGAGATGTTCTTATATTGTTATCTAAAATCAAGCCTACAGCCTTATCAAGAAGCATTGGTAAAGAAGTGTGAAACCATTTATACAACTAGAACTTTACATGTATTTAGTATGTAGGTTTAAGGTTTAAGTTAACCCGGTATTTACAGACAAAAGAATGAACAAATTTCAATAACTAGAAGCCCTGGGTCATAAAAAGGAATGACAATGCAAAAATATTTTATCCCATAATTTTATTTGCAAGTTAAAAACACTAAGGGTATAGCTATATGATGTGAAGGATATTGTTTTTTTTATGAATACATATTTATGATGTATTTATTAATCATAATTTAGGATGTATTTGCATTTGAGCAGATGGTTTGTAAAGCAATGTACGATTATGACGCAGTTGACACGGACGAGGTTGATATGCGAGAGGGAGATTTGATCGTATTCTGTAAGCAGTTTGAAGCTGGATGGTCTGAAGGCACGGTAGAGAGAACCGGAAAGCGTGGATTTTTACCTTCAAATTATGTGGAGAAAATCAACTAGGCGCTTTTTTAAATGAAAATTTAATCATTTTTTTAAAATGTGTATAGAACATGTATATAACTATGTGTGTTAAGATAAGTTGTTAACCTAAAGCCTAAGGCGAGTCAGAACCAGAATTGCATTAAAGTTGTGATGGAAAACGTGATAATTATGTTGTTACTACTTAACAGAGCCTTTATGTTAAATAAATTTTTTTAAAGTTTTTTAAAAAATCAAAACTTAAGATAGATGCTTTTGAACAGTTTTTTTTTTTTTGCTTTTTCTAGAGCAAGACAAAATAGTGTGATGTCTTCTTGAAATCTTCCACATTGGTAAGACAGTTATAAAAATGTTTAAGTACAAATCTGCATGGAGAACAAAGTCAGTGCCTGCTCAGGCAAAGATAAGTTTTGGGAGTTTTCGTAAGATGATTTTTGGTATGGGTACATGTAGTTTCGCAGGAAAAGAAGCCCAGACCAGTCTGCCTAATGTGTACATAGCTGTTGCAATTTCTTTCACATCCATAATTAATGTTTTTTGGAGAGAAAAAAAGGGTTCTTGTAAAAATTAAAATAAATCATCCACGGTTTTTAATATTGATATTCAAGAGTTTCATTCTTTTCTCTGTAGTCCATATCGGTTTCAAACTTGCTTCTTGAATTCTTTGTTGTTGATTTTTTTCCCACATCTTTTTTAAAGAGGAATAGAGGAATATTTTATTAGCCTACATACGTACCACTACCTTAGAGCGTAAATGTAGTTTTGAACAAATATTTTTCAGAACATCAAAATTAACCTGCTGGGAACAAAAATTGTAAATCCTTGACCAGGTTGTATACAGTTCATTTTAGATAAGTAAATTTTGTTATTAGTTTAGATTTTTTTTATAAAAAGATATATCTTAGTTTTAAAAGTTGCCATATTTTGAATAGATAGGAGAGAGGGAAAAGGGCTTGCGATTTGAGTATCATTTTCGTTTTGTTCCTCAGACTATGAATTTATTTTTGTCATATTTTGTTGTTGTTTTTATTACTTTTTTCTGTTCTTAATTCAATGATCAGATTGACTACATGTGTTTGACAGTGTTTTTTTTTTTTTTTGCATGTTTTTTTATCATTCATTTTTGCAAGGATTGTTTTTTATTATGATTTTCTTTCATGGACATTTCCACAGACAGTATTTTTGTTGTCATTGTTCTCTTGTGAGACATTTTAAGAAAATTGCTAAAGTTTTAGTGATGCATTAGCTAGCATCATAGTGAATGTGTGAATTTAAAAGAACAAAAGCATCCCGAAACATTAGAAATGAAATAAGAAAAAAAAAACTTGTGCAGTTTTCCAAGATATTCAAATGTAAAGCAGCTTCATTCTTTCCCAAAAAAGCAATTTTAGTGATAAGTCTTACAAAAAAAAAAAAAAAAGGCTAAGCCTCTTCCAAATTAAGAGAGTAAAAACTCCTTTTTGAAACAGAAAAAAAACAACAAATATTAAATTTTGATCATTAATGTGTGAATTCAGGCTGTGTTAAATACCAATAACTATATTTAAGTCTTTGGGGTTTGTTTTAAGAAAAAGGTTTTGTTGTTATTATTTTAAGCAAAAAATTACTAGGTTAAACTGTTTTATCAATTTTGTATATTTAAAAGGCATCTAGTATTTTATGTCAACCCTCATCTGATAATGCAATACTACTTATCTATATATGCTTATCTAAGTTATTTCATATGAATCTTCCATAAACAATTTCGAATGTGTATCGAATACTGCTATTTATATATATATATGAAGCCTTGGATTGTATGCTCAATGCAACACCTAGTGAATTAACTAATTCTGGTGCAATTTCGGTATGCAGTCATAGTGGCGTGTCTTGGAAACACGATTTTCGATTGTCTCTTTTTATTAAGGGTGTATCATAAAAAAAATGTTAACACAGATGTTTTTAAAACTGAAACTTTGTTAAGGCTTGTTTTAAAGCTAGATAGTAGAATTTAGATGTTTTTATATTAGAAGTGTGTGGTGGAGAATGGAGTAAAATGTAGCCCTTTTGTACCCATAAAATAATAAGTTGTTGTTCCAAAAATTGTTAATTAGTTGTATATTAATTTCAACATTTCTAAAATAAGTTTTTGAATTCTAAACATTTTCAAGTGTAATGTTTGGCAAATGGGGTTCATAAATCGGTGGAATTTATATTGTTTTTGGCTTAATCTTTAGCCTGTAGGAAACAAAATTGATTACCCTTTACCACCAGAAAAGAGCCAGGCCAGTCTGCACAACCATTGCATCAGCCCAGGCTCTACACTGTATTAGTAGCTAAATTTTTGTATTTTGATACAGAATTCCATTAAATTTTGAATGGACCGCTCCAAATTGAAAGCTGGGCAAATTGTTTATACAAATAACAGGTTGAACTGAAAAAAGTGCTTAAGTAAAGGGATAAAAAGGTCATAACAATTTCTCCATGGAGTAGAAAACAAACCCTGATATTATTTTGTGGGTATCACAAGGGTTTTCAACGTTTGTATGAGTGAAGAAGGTTTTTCATTGCTTGGAGTTTTAAAAGTGTCCTGATTCATCATGTGTTTGTCTTTCATGTTAAGTTTTGTTTTTGTCAAGTTTAGATTGTGTATATGTATGGTATATAGGTGGGCTTTTTTAACTGGATGGTATATATATGTGTGTATTATCTAGCTAGGTGGCATATATGTGTATTATCTAATTAGGTGGTATATATGACTATTTCCTAGCTAGGTGCACTATCTGATTATGTGGAATGTGTGTATTATCTAGCTGGGTGGTATATAACTGTATTATCTAGCTGGGTGGTATATAACTGTATTATCTAGCTGGGTGGTATATAACTGTATTATCTAGCTGGGTGGTATATAACTGTATTATCTAGCTGGGTGGCATATAACTGTATTATCTAGCTGGGTGGTATATAACTTGTATTATCCTAGCTGGGTGGTATATAACTGTATTATCTTGCTAGGTGGTATATAACTCGTATTATCCTAGCTGGGTGTTATATAACTGTATTATCTTGCTAGGTGGTATATAACTCGTATTATCCTAGCTGGGTGGTATATAACTGTATTATCTAGCTGGGTGGCATATAACTGTATTATCTAGCTGGGTGGTATATAACTCGTATTATCCTAGCTGGGTGGTATATAACTGTATTATCTAGCTGGGTGGTAGATAACTCGTATTATCCTAGCTGGGTGTTATATAACTCGTATTATCCTAGCTGGGTGGTATATAACTGTATTATCTAGCTGGGTGGTATATAACTGTATAATCTAGCTGGGTGGTATATAACTGTATTATCTAGCTGGGTGGTATATAATGTATTATCTAGCTGGGTGGTATATAACTCATATTATCTAGCTGGGTGGTATATAACTCGTATTATCTAGCTGGGTGGTATATAACTCGTATTATCCTAGCTGGGTGGTATATAACTCGTATTATCCTAGCTGGATGTTACACATGTAGACTATCTGGCTTGGTGGTAATCTGTATTATCCAGCTGGATGGTATATAACTTCTTTTTCCCTAGCTTGGTGATATACATGAGCACTATCTGGCTGGGTGGTATACAACCTGTTTTTATCTAGCTTGATGGTATATATTGTTCCTCTATCTTCCTTTAACCGTTATATGTGTCTGAATTAAAACAGTTTATATAAATTAAATATGTGAGATAAGAAGTCATTTTAGCATTGGTCTTTAGATGGAATCTCCTAAATTGTTTCTTTCATTGAAAGTCTGTGCCCTTTTAAAAGGAGTCGGAAATTTAAGGCTATATAAATCAAACATTATAGATTTGTGAAAGTGTTTAAAGTAACACAAAAAGTCATGACTTCAACATGGCATCTTGAATAAAAAGAAAGTCGTTTCCAGTGTCAATAACCTTTTTAGTTAATCATTGATAAAGAATGCTTCTGTGTTAAAGATAGGCTGTTTATTCAATTGCTATGTTGTTACTCGTTGCTATGCTGTTAGTTAATGTGTTTTCTGCCTTTAAATGTGATCTATTCTGTTGGCTTTTAAAATCTTTTATTCCTTACTCTATATTCACTTATATACAAGGAGTTAGCAGTTTTAAGGGTATATTTTTCATTGTTTCTTGTTGACTGTTATAGTGAAATTAAAAAGTATAGTGGCATTCTGATAACAGCTAAAACATACTAAATGAGGAAAAATTGCAAAGATCGTTAAATAGTAACAACCTCAAATTTAGTCAGAATTTCACAGGAGTGAGAATTAAATATTTAAGTTATTTCAAATTTTACTAAAATTCGATGCAGAATAAAGGTTTATTGCTACAATTGAAAAATTTTGTGCAACAAATATATTGCCCTATTATAAATATTTTGTAATTATTAATTTATGATGCTCGTTTTATTTGTACAAAATTGCTAACTCCTTCGCCTGTATCTACGCACAGACGTTTGTTCTTTTTGTTTTAGAAATAAGTGGTCTACGGGTATTTGATCGACCTAAAAAGTTTATTTATAGAGTTACTAAAATAGATGAAATAGAGAATTTATTCAGGATAGTTTGTATATTAAGTTTTTATCTAAAATTTAATCACAGGTTTATATGGCATTGTTAATTGTTTTTATTTTTGTATGTATAGGGTATCAATTTTGCAATATATATATAAATGAAATTAATTGAACAATACTATCATTTTTTGATCACGAAATGTGAAAAATATCAATCCAAACAGACCAGATTTTGTTAAGTTCCTATTCATGCTTTATCACCACTTTTTCATGAGGAACTTTTACAACAAAACTGCATTGTGATTTCTGTAATATTTTTAGAACAGGTCACAATGTTGTTCTGTTCAACACTCTCTCTGTCCCCAGTTTTTATCACTAGCCCAGTCTGCAATTTATTTAACTGCCATTGTATTTATGAGAAGTGCTTATGCCCTCCCCCTTTTCTCTTTGTACCTTCCAGCACAAATATATTCAGAACTTTCTTCTTATTGGCACAATTTCTAAATTATTTTTTTTTGTAAAGAGAATGCATGCCTCTTTAAGTAACCGTAAGCTTTGAATTGTTTGTTTATATTCATGTCATGTGTTTTTTCCATAGCACAAAAATTCTTTTGCAAGGAAACCTTTAAAATGAGTAAACTTAATGTAGTTTAATTGATGATGAAATATCGCAACAGAATTAGAGACTATGTATTTCGCAATTATGTAATGATATTTACTAGTAATTTATTATACTCGGTGTTTTCAGATTATATAATCTAACTTACTTTGATTTCTATAACTTGCTGGGTCATTTGTACAACAATGTAATCTTCACATTAGTTTATAATAAATTAAAAGGATGAAATGGAGTACTACTTGCTTGTTTTTTTGTTGTTTCATTTAACTATTGGGAACTGAAGATGGAGTCCATAAACCGTTGTAACACGTTAGTCCATATGACAATGGCACATTTGCCACCAGCACAAAGCTGTCAGTTTGAACATTTGTGCAGTCTAGCATAACATGTATTGTTAATCAACTTCAAATGTTCATCTTGATATGGAAAAAAACGGATCTTAGACGTGTATTTTAGATGTTTATCTGAATAAAGGGAAAGATAAGGCAACCACTTGGGCGTAGCGATTATTTAATCATTAATATCTATCTCTGGATATTGCCAACCCCTCTTACGAGTGTTAAAGGCAAAAATTTAGTGCACGTCGGATTGTTAGTAAAAGGTGAAAAGAAAAGCTAAAAAGAAAAGTCCAAACATTGACATGCTTGGAAGGTGAGACTGAAAATGTATTCTAGTCATGGTTAAAATGTTAATAGTGAAACAAGATGATAAGAGATAAAATAGTTTAAAAACACTGGGAGTAAGACTAGTACTGCAAACCCACCACTGCCTGTTTGAACTGACTCAAGTTGGGCAGGGTGGCAATGTTACTAGGAAGTTTATTCCATGAGGGAAGAAAGAGTACTTATGGTAGTCGGAGGATACCTGTATTTGGCGTAGGGATAAGTGGTGCATATGTCTGGTTAATCTATGTGGGGTTTGAACATATGTTGGGAGATTAATTTCAACTAGGTTATGGTATATCTTATAAAACATTATCAGTCTACAGTCCAATCTGCGATGTTCAAGGGATCTCCAGCCCAATTCTTCCTGCATGGCTGTGACACTAGAGTGAAGGGAGTAATTCCATTTAACCCATTTTAGTGCACGTCTCTAGATCATCTCAACTTTGTCAATATTGGTTTTAGTGTAAGGAGACCAAATAGTTGAAGCATATTCAACCTGTGGCCGGACCAGGGACTTGTATGCTAGTTCTTTCACTTTCTCATTTTTAGTAATAAAATTTCTTTTAATAAAGCCAAGGATCTGTTTGCATTAGAAGTAATTCGAGATATATGTGTACTAAATTTATGCTCAGTCCTTTGTAACAGACTCTATGACTTGGCCATGGAGCATATATTTGTGTTTAATTATGGTTTTATTTTTGGTGATATGGATGACTTGGCATTTTGAAGGGTTAAACTCCATGTCCCACTTCTTCTCCCACAGAACCATATTGTCTAGATCATGTTGGAGAGTTGGTCTATACAGAATTTATTTTAGTTCGATTTTGTAGGAAGATATTAGCTTATAAACACACTTTCGAAGAGTTTGGGGGGGGGGGGGGGTCTGAGGAGGAATTGATGGTTAGATATATAGACCAAAAATTTGTATAACAATTTCTTATTTGTATTTTGAATATGTAACTAGCATATTGATGGTCATCGTCCCAACGTATGCCTGTTTTAGTTATAAATATGGTATGTCCTCTTGCTATAAAAATTGGTGGTGTTCAACGAATGGTTGATGCATGGTAAATCAATTAAAACGATCAAAAGAAATTAATTCAAAAAACTAAAGGGACTCCTTTTCAAAATGATCTTATTCAAACATGTATTTGACTTTGTTGATCGACATGATGATTATATCAATATAATTGTAAGAAATATAGTGGAATATAAATATTTCATCTCGTCATAGCCATCTCTTGACATTTTGCAGACTGCAGCAAACCGCTCTGTACCAAGCTGGGCTGTCTTCCGATGTCACAATTTTTTCCCGCTAGACGTCATAAACAAAGGGGTACGGCTCATTGAATGTTCACAAAATATGTATTTGATGGTAGAAAACATTTATCCTAAGTCAGAAATGAAGTCTAAGTCCATTCCCATTACACTATATACTAATATATAGACAAGGGTAACAACTCACATAAGAAGGTGTCTATGCCCAATCAGGGTTTTTGCCTCGCAGTTTTTTACACGATACAGCATAAATAAAAAGGAATTATGCTATTTGAAGTAGAATGATTTATCTATCGAACCAATGTAAAACTTTTCTTATATCTCTTATATTTAACGAGTACTGGCCGTCAAAGTAACAAAAAACTGTTCATTTTCGCGAGGTCGACATCGATCGTGGCTACGCAGGAAACACAAAGTTACACGACTGTTGCAATCGTTGGAGATAATATCACAAGCATTAATCATGCTGGGCAATTAAAAATACATAAGAGTAATCAAAATATACCAATAACCTATAATGACAGTGTGATATACACTCACCTGCGGCTTCAAAATATTCCCCGTTGAAATTTCTATAAAACACCGCCATCTTGACGAATGTAAACAACCGTCATCTGATTGGTCGGAATTTTTCGGAAATTTACGGGTATATTTTCGGGAAATAAATCGACCAATCAGATGACGGTTGTTTACATTCGTCAAGATGGCGGTGTTTTATAGACATTTCAACGGGGAAATATTTTGAAGCCGCAGGTGAGTTTATATCACATTGTCATTATAGGTTATTGGTATATTTTGATTACTCTTATGTATTTTTAATTGCCCAGCATGATTAATGCTTGTGATATTATCTCCAACGATTGCAACAGTCGTGTAACTTTGTGTTTCCTGCGTAGCCACGATCGATGTCGACCTCGCGAAAATGAACAGAATTTTGTTACTTTGACGGCCAGTACTCGTTAACTATAAGAGATATAAGAAAAGTTTTACATTGGTTCGATAGATAAATCATTCTACTTCAAATAGCATAATTCCTTTTTATTTATGCTGTATCGTGTAAAAAACTGCGAGGCAAAAACCCTGATTGGGCATAGACACCTTCTTATGGGAGTTGTTACCCTTGTCTATATACATGTATTAGTTAGTCAAAATATTTTAACCTACGGGATTTTTAGATAATTTTTGACATGGTCAAAATCGCCGGGCGTAGCTCTGATCGCGTTGATATTTCGACTATATATTAGTATATAGTGTAATGGGAATGGACTTAGAATTGATTTCTGACTTAGGATAAATGTTTTCTACCATCAAATACATATTTTGTGAACATTCAATGAGCCGTACCCCTTTGGTCATAAATAGAGCGTTATACGAATCACGTCTAAGAAACTTGTTAGCAACTACGGGTAAAGTCCGTATTTCTTGGAATAATTGTCATTTTTGGAACCACTTTTGCCTGTACTATATTGCTGTGATTAGATATACTTCGAACAAAAAAGAAACCCATTCAATTTCCATGTCTGCACTGCGACACATATCCAATATACATCAGATATGGTGCAATAACTACTATGGTATATTCAGTTACTTTTTATACCCCGCACAACGGAGTTGTAAAGGGGTATACTGGAATCAGCTTGTCCGTCCGGACGTCTCCCCGTCCGACCGTCCGGCGGATTTTCCTTGTCCGCCCAATAACTGGAGTTTCCTTTGACTGACAGTCTTCATATTTAGCATGGAGGTTAGTCATGATTAATAGATGACCCCTATTGATTTTGAGGTCACTGGGTCGAAGGTCAAGGTCACAGGGACCTTCACTTAAAAAAGCTTGTCTGCCCAATAACTTGAGATTCCTTTGACCCATAGTCTTCATATTTGGCATGGAGATTATTCATGATAAGTAGATGACCCCTATTGATTTTGTGGTCACTGGGTCGAAGGTCAAGGTCACAGGGGCCTTGACTAAAAAAAGCTTGTCTGCCCAATAACTTCAGATTCCTTTGACCCACAGTCTTTATATTTGGCATGGAGGTTAGTCATGATTAGTAGATGACCCCTATTGATTTTGAGGTCACTGGTTCAAAGGTCAAGGTCACAGGGGCCTGGACTAAAAAAGCTTGTCTGCCCAATAACTTGAGATTCCTTTGACCCACAGTCTTCATATTTGGCATGGAGGTTAGTCATGATTAGTATATGACCCCTATTGATTTTGAGGTCACTGGGTCAGAGGTCAAGGTCACAGGGGCCTTGACTGAAGAAAAAGCTTGTCCGCCCAATAACTTGAGATTCCTATGACCCACAGTCTTCATATTTGGCATGGAGGTTAGTCATGATTAGTAGATGACCCCTATTGATTTTGAGGTCACTGGGTCAAAGGTCAAGGTCACAGAGGCCTTGACTAAAACAGCTTGTCCACCCAATAACATGAGATTCCTTTGACCCCCAGTCTTCATATTTGGCATTGAGGTTAGTCATAATTAGTAGATGACCCTTATTAAGGGTCAAAGATCAAGGTCACAGGGGCTTTGACTAAAAAAGCTTTTCAGCTCAATTGATTAAGAATGCTTTGGTCAACAGTCTTCATATTTGGTATTGAGGTTGTTTATGACTAGTAGATGATCCCTGTGTCAAAGGTCAAGGTCAAAGAGATTTTTACTATAATAAGCTTGTCTGCCCAAATGCTTAAGAATACCTGTCTGCAGTGTATTGATTTTGACATTTTCACATTTGACGCATAGAGAATACATAACTTAGAAATGCACTGGCTTAGTAACCTCAGATTTGGCAGGGAGGTTGTCCTTGAGCTCTAAATGGCAACTGTTGATTCTGACAAAGTGGTATGCGGATGTATTCACGCCATGACAGTGGCAGTTCTAGTGGATTTACCTTTACTTCCTTTGTGTTCAAAACTGAACAAACGAGATAAGGAGAGGCCGTAATAGATATTTTTACTGCATACACGTTCGTACTTTCGAGACCGTTGAAAAGCTTAGAGCCTCTTCTTTACATCTGCATAACGCACCTTTAACAAGGCCGTGGTAAGTCTATTCGAGTTAAGGCAAAACCCGCATGGGACTCTCTTGAAATTGTTAGTGTAGCCAGAACTAGGTGCCATATTCTTGAGGAATCTCCAAGATATATCTCATTTTATCCGACGATTTAAGAACATGAACCTCACCTTAACGGCAATGACCATTACTTACTTCAGAAACGGGTTTATGAGTGGTCTGTAAATGATATGCTCCGGAACATACAACTTTTTGCATACTTTGTCGTATCCTGGTTATTT